TGTGTGGATGGGTGAGGTGCATGTGTGCCTGCTGACACGGGCCAGAAAAGCCAAACTTAAGAAATCAGCCTATGTACAGAACAAACCATCTGAAGGGGTTCTCATTAATCCGCCGTCTGTGACTTTCGTTATTTTTCAGGTTAGTTCTGAGTTTTGTTGCCTTTTAAAGGGAGAGGAAAGCAAACTACATACTATATTATTATGGGCTTATAAAAAAGGAGGAGGGATAAAAATCAGTTATCAATGTTGCATCATTCTATATGAAGAGGAGCATAATTTAGCCTAAGTATTCATGGGGGAGGGGCTGCCTTTATTTATTTACTTACTTACTTATTTTTACAACTAGAACTAGGTTAAAACTGATGGTGCTGAGAATAACAAAAGTTTTTTTGGAGTTCAACAAATGGATCTTTCTTGGCCTTTTAAAACATTTCAGCCAGGGTCATTCAAATCTGGACTATTTTTAAGCTTGACCTTTGACCGGGCTTTAGAGAATCTGGGGAGGATGCTAAGATAGTTGCCAAAAAGATGATGACTTTCCATTTTGAAAACTAAAAAAAAAAAGAAGAAGAAGAAGAAGAAAAAGATACTTTAAAGCTCCTAATGGCCGTTACAGATGTAAAGTTAAGAGGAGAAAAGGTTGGGGAGAATGGGACCTACATCAAGAAGGAAAAAAAAACAAAAATCTGACCAGGCCTCTAACACAAGCCTATGAAGACACTCCATGGCTCTTTGGCCAAGTTAGTCATGAGAACATGTTTATGGGTGTTCTTGGGTGTTTTTCATTCCGGCATGTACATTTTAAATGGGAAGAAATTCAAGTAGTTGCAGGAAGTGTTTAAATGGGGGATGGGAGGGAGGTGGGAGTATTGGTCCATGGGGAACAAGTTCAGCCTGGTGCTAGGGCCGTTAGAGTAGGGGAGGAAGGGGAGTGTGTCATCTGCTGGAGCCACTCGTGTGGCAGACCTGCCTGCGGAGCAGCGACTTTCGAGAGTTCATGAATGGAAGTCAGAGACCGGGCCACCGCAGCCACCCCCAGACATTTACGAAAGGGGAGGGCTGTGTGCTTTCCCAGGGTATTCTGGTAGCAGTTTGCTTCCCTGGCTTTTCTTTTAATTCCCCTAATTGGCGGCGTCAGAAAAGGCTTTGGAATAGTTTGCTTTAAATGTGTCCACCTACTCCCCAAACGCCGGGGTTATTTTAGGCACCCCACTCTTTTCCTGGGAGCTCCTTCGCAGGACTTCTTTTGAACGGGTCCAGGAGGTAGGGTCCCTCCCGAGCCGCCTCCTGCAGAGGTCACTTTTTTTGCGCGCGGGGTCGTCCCCAGCGTTTGTGAGCAGCATATGCATGTGGCTGTGCTGACGGCACTCGCAGGCTTGTAAATTTTCACCCTGGGAAATTAGCAACAAAGCCCGATCTGTCTCGCGGCTGCTTTGCCACTTTCCGAGGGCGGCTGTACTTGACTGAGCTGCAGAACAGGCACAGGAGAGCGAGCGAGCGAGCGAGGGAGCCAGCGAGCGAGGGAGGGAGAGAAGGGAAGGAGAGAAGAGGGGAGGGGTGGGGGCGAGAGGTAAATAGTCTTCAATCGGAAGGGAGCTGCTTCTCTGTGGTCTTGACAAGCGCTGCCGGGGCTCCGCCGGCTCAGTAATAACGGAGTGACCTTTTCTCGGGCTGTATGAGGTCTGGCTGGGCAGGGATTGCATTTTGCAGCTGAGAGCCCCGGCCGCCTTCAGCGCGGCTCCTGGCGTGCTGCGGGGGTAAGTTGTCTGGAGCCAGGACCGAGAGAGACCGCCTCGGACTGCGGTTGCCTAAAAGGAGGACACACCTGTGGCTCAGATGCGATCAACACCATTACTTGGCGGATCCTTGAGGACCTCATTATTGTAAACTTAAAAAAAAAAAATAGAGATTCCCTCCCCCTCTTTTTTTTTTCAAACAATGCTTCTTTTTGACCTTTCCCAAGGAGAAGCGCTACAAAGCAGCCACTGTGCTTTCTGAACCGCCTCCCCCTGTATCGCTTAATTGAGAAGGTAAGTGCGGCGACGGTGTACACACGCGGCGGCTGCTTTGCGGTGTGTGTGTGTCTGCGGGCGCGCGCGTGCGTGTGCGGATGTGGGTATTTTTTTTTTTTTTTCTTCTTCTTCTTCTTCCCCGAGCCTCCTAATGAGGCATAAACTGGAGCTTGCAGCCCGGCTCCGCACTGCAACTTTTGCTCGGGCTGCAGCTCTGCTGAGACGGTTTTGCTTAAATCATATGAGGCTTCATTATTTTTATGATGAGACATGAACTGCCCGCGGAAGCTGTGGCTGGAAGGAGGGAGCGCGGCTGCGGCGCGGAATGTTTCAAGTCCGACTCGAGTGGGTAATAGTCGAAGTTCACGCCGAATTGCAGCATTTCCACACCCCTCACCCCCGGGGACAGAGGGGCCGGGAGAGTTTGGCATGAGGACAGGTTCGCTCCGGTCCGGCCCGTTAGGCAAGGAATTCGGTCCCCGGATGGGTTCGGGGGAGCCCTCTGCTCCTGACTTGCTGGAATTCATGAACCCCCACCCCCTACCCCCCAAGAGTTGAAAGAACAACCTTTGGGTTCCTGTTGACACTTCTGCCTCTCCCCACTCTGCCATCACACAGCGTGGCTCCGACGAGGTGGAAAAGTGGCTATTTGGGAAGGAGGGGGGTGGTCGGGGAGAAGTGGCCAGAAGAGTGAGATTCCGTGGAACCAGGTGCCTATGTCCTAATAGGTCCCGATTCAAACCGATGCAGCACATTTTTACGGGGTGAGGGGTGGGGGGGGGTGTGGGGGGGGACACTGCCCAGATAGCTGTTATGAAATACAACTCAGATTTATGATCTTTTTCATATTGAACATGATATGCTATGCTAACGCTGCATGTGACAGTTTAATCAAATCCATTTGTTACCGCGAAGCTCAAAGGGGCCGCTGGGATTTCAGGATTATGGGCAGAGTTAGGGAAGCATGTGGCTTTGTCATTCGCCATCGTTCTGCACACCGCCACCCTGCGAGGGGGCTCTCTGTGTGCGCCGCGTCTCGTCTGGCCGCCCTCGTCCCTTCCCCCACCCCCTGCCGCCACTCCGACCCGCTCCCAAAGTGGCTTCACAATAGTCGGTCCTCCAGCGGTGTAGGCTGCGCACCAGGTCCGCCCTCGAGCTAAATAAGGAGACCCTCCCGGCGCCTATCTTTGGGCTTGGTGCTCCATGCGAAGCCTCCGCAACTCAGGCACGCCTAGAGCAACTCATGCAGAAAAAGGAGAAAAGTTTTGGTAAGGTTACCATCTACCATGGATGCACTTTGCCGGCGCTCGGCACTCTTGGCTGCTCCAAAGCCTCCCGGCTCTTCCGCTGCTTTTGTGTCTTTCTGCACGATCCCAAATATTATTGTGGTAACTGCTTTGAAAGACGGCCTGCTTAAACCAATTAATCTGGCGGGGTGCAACAAATAACTGCTACATTCTTTGCAAACCATCCCTGTGTGGGTGCAAAGACACCACCACAAAAGGCTGGAGCATAACTCCGCAAAGGGATTCTTTGTTAGAGTGTATGTATGTTTCTTATTTTTTTTTTATTTTGCATGTGAGCTGCATCAAAATTGAACTCAGTCTTGCAAATCTCTTGTTGGCCTTTGCCAAGCACTAGCACTTTGCTGCCATGGTAACTGTAATTAAACTGATAAGAGTGGAAAAATGTCAGTATCTCTGAGCCTTGCAGCTGCATTGGAGAAAAAGGGAATCAAATTGGTTCCCAGCTCCATTGCTCAAAAAGGGGAGGGGTGGTGGAAAGATGGGGAGGGGGGGGTGTTGCGAGTTGAAGGGGCAGAACAGAGTTAAGCAGCTCCAGTGCCTGAGATCTGGGGACATCTATTTGCATTGTTGTCCCTTAGGGGGCTGCAGCCTGTAGGGATGCTCTGGGCCAGTGAACAGAGAGAAACAAGCTTTTAGGCCCAATCCAGTTCTCCAATCGGGACTGGGGGCTGGGAGAGGATGAAGATGGGCAGGAGGAGAGAAAATCTTTTGTTTGGTACCTCTTGGCAATCGAAAGGCCGTGTTGGCCAAATTCTTTTAATCTGTGTCACTGCTCCCAGCTGCAGAACCCGCATTCCCATTTTAGCATCTTCCTGAGGCACCTCATCTCTGCCAACCCCCTTTATGTATTCCCTCTAACAATTCCTTCTCCCAAATTGTTCCCTGTGAATCTTCCGACGGGGACAAAATGTTTCCCATTCAGTATGGGTAGTTAGTCCAAAAATATAAAAGACTGTGTCTAAGTGCTGCAAATCTTTTATTATGATTATTTTTTTAAACCCCTGTGTGTTGTGGAGTTGTGGTTACTTTGTTGTGTTAACTACTGAAGCTGAGACTGCTCGGATGAATGGCACAGAACAAGGGAACATAATGGAGGCAATCAACCGTTAGGCCGCCTCACAATGCAATCCGGGCAATTAAAAGCTCACCAGAGTTTAAATGAAATGGTTCTACTTATTTCTGCACACCACACTGCACAGGCTATTATTTATGTCTTTTTTTAAAATTATGATTTCCCTTAAACTGTCAAATAACTCAGAATGGCAGGGTCTCAGAGGCAATAAGAATTTCCCTCAGAACAATTTACATGCCAATCTTAAACTAGTTATGAGTCCTGATGTGCTCTGAGCAACTTGTGCCATGTTTCTCAGCTCTAAACACGTACCTCTACCCAGACCTGTGCTCTGGATAGTGAGGGGAGGTTGCTGACTGCTTGATGCCTTTTAGGTTCATGGCAAAGTGGTGACTGCAAAATAGTTCTTTTCCTACAGCTGGTAAAGTTGCATGGTATTGAAAAGATTTCCCTTTCAAGAGAAATGTGAGGATGTTCTCTAAAAGAAGGCTCCGGGGTGGAGTGTAAAATATCAAACTCCTTTTCCGCCCAAGGCCAAACAGAATGCAAGAGTTTCAAATATTAATTGGCCTCTGAGTGCTAAATTAAAATGTCAACACAACAAAAACATTTTGTGAAGACAAGCAGGGTAGTGTTGCTTGTGCCAAATGTTGGTATTCCCTGTCTTGGTTGCAAAGCATTTTGAATAAAAGATAGCTGACCTCCCAGGCTTGATGGTGGTAACACAACTCAGAAATATAGCTTAGCTACAACTAAGAAGGATTTTTACAAAATAAATGTAGCTTTGTGATATAGAAAATAATTGCCTTAGAAACTGGATAATGAGACTGGCCACTCATAATATATCTCTAGATGTTTTCAATAATGAAATCCAGAGTATCACTTAGTAAATCAAAATTTCTCCCTCCCCTTAGGTGCATGATTAAGAGGCACTAGGGTGAGATCTGTACAATAATTAATGGGATTTAATCCTTGTGGAACCTTGCTAGAAGACAGTAACTAGTTCTGATCAAAGAAACTTCATTTGTTAGAAGTTCTAGAGAGTGAGATTTAGCAGAGCTATCAAGGGTTATGATTAATCTACACTAGCCCCTCAGCTCCTTCAAAGAAAAGGAGCAGAAAGCAGGCTATAGGAATACCACCTGCTCTTCTGTTCAAAGCCAGCTGCTAGTTTGCAGCTCCGGAGACCACAGCTACGCAGATCACGCAGAAAGGACAGCCACGCTGCTTTCTTCCGTGCCATTGCCTACTCTACTCCTCTAACCAGAGAAGTTATTTTCTAATGGAAGTTCAACATCATAACAGTATTATGTGCAGTGCATGTAATATTTGTAGCTAGGAAAGTTATCCATCTGCGTGGATACTGTGCCTTGATCTTTCTTATCGGTGTGATTAAAAAAAGAAAAAGATAGTGAAGGTAATAGAGGCGAAGTCTTCATCACAAGGCATCAGAGGAAACTGAAGGAGGTTTAACTCTTTTGGAGGAGGGAAGCACGCAGAAAATGTTCAAGACTAGGGCTTGGCATTTCTTTTCTTGACACTGTTTCAAGTGCATGCACATTTGGTGTTTTGTATCCTTCCATGTCCAAGTTTAGAACTTTGTGCCTAGGAGAGGAAGCAGGATAGAGCAATGGCATCGCTAGGCTGTGGGAAGGCCACCAAGTGTAGTGTTTTAAGTGTTGTTCAGCTTTGAGCCAGTACCTTAACCTCTCTTAGGCCTCCGTATCCTAATTTGTAAAATGAGGGACTTTGGAATTGATGGATGCCTGTGACACTTTACAGTGCTTAAAGTGAGTTATTTAATAAATAGGAGGCTCTGAATAGTTAGTCCAGGGTTGTTTTTAAAGCAGGGTATTAGGAAAGAAGAAACGCAGGTGAATGTTCTTTCAATTTTAGTCAAGTTGTAAAACCCAGCTAGACTCCTTGTTTATGATGGAAATATATCTTAAAAAATATAGAAATGTCCCTCTGTCTAGGATAGCATTATATAATATATGTACTGTACATATTACATTTATCTCTGTATGTATAATTATATATATATATATCATATATATATATATGATATATATATATATTCAGACTTTGCCTTCTGTTGTTTTCTTCTATAAATACGTGCATGTGAATGGTAATAAATTACATAATCCTATACTTCAGTTTTATATAAGAATATATAGTAGTATATAGTTAGGTAATCTGCCATTAATACAGGCACTGAATGATGCTTGAGAGTATACTTTTTTATTTTAACATAATGAATACTTTGAAATATCAAGGGCACAGAAGGAAGTATTTGGATGCAAACAAGCAATATAGGATTGGTGAACTTTTGGGGTGACTGTACTGTGTACTTAACTTCAAGCATCTTTGCTTCTTAGTAAGGATAGTGTAACCCCATTAGGGTACACTCTCCTTCTGTCATCAGGCACCTAGTAAGTGAAATTTTTAATCAATAAACCCCTCCCCCCAATTTTCACTTTTATAGTCTTCATGGACTATTTTGTTAAATAGCTTTCCTTTAAGATTGGTAGCCATTTGTTCACATTTTATCCCTAAAGGAACCGCCCTGTGTATAGAATGGCGACACTATACAATTATTTAATGTTATTTAACTTCGTGTACATAGTGTCCTTTTCCTGGGACCGACATGAATTCACTACTTTCTCCACTCTACATGTACGACTTCAGAAATGATTTGATAAGAACCTCACAAAGTTTGAGGCTTTCTGTGTCCAGAATATAGTTTGACTTTAGTACAGTCCTAAAAAGAGAGAGTCTCACACTCCTTAAAGGAGGCACTCTGAAATATTTAGCTTGTTTGAGGTCTTCTGACATCCTATGGCTCTGTCTTGTCGTCCCAGCTCTCTTTTTGTTTTTGTTTTTGTCTCCTTTTAGGTATACAAATGCTCTCAGTCCAGCCAGACACCAAGCCGAAAGGTTGTGCTGGCTGCAACCGAAAGATCAAGGACCGGTATCTTCTAAAGGCACTGGACAAATACTGGCATGAGGACTGCCTGAAGTGTGCCTGCTGCGACTGCCGTCTGGGAGAAGTGGGCTCCACCCTGTACACTAAAGCTAATCTCATCCTTTGTCGCAGAGACTATCTGAGGTAGGACTTACCCTTGCACACCAGTGATGGCTGGATTCCTTTTAAAGTACTTTTGTAAGTGTCTGTTTTGGTTTGTTTCATTTCCTTACTGCCAGCCTATAGTCCTGAAGGATGTTGACCTGTTAGCCTTCAAAATGTTGCCAGGTGCCTGTTAAGCAAATTATTGCTTAAGCAGTGGCCAACAAAACACAGTATCTAAAAGGTTTCCATTTGGCTTGCCTGGTTGCTCCTAGTTAGGGGTAGGTCATTCGACTGCCTGTATTGTCATGTTCATGTCAAGGACGTGTTCGGTAGAAATCAGCATATACATTTTTTTTTATTAAACCATAAGCGACAAGGTGGGCCAAGCAGAACACGAAATATGCAGCTGTCTTTCTGTTTCAGATTTGTCAGAGAAAATCTGTTAGAGATTCTCAACTGGTATTTATTAGTATATTTATTAGTCAATTTTGAAAACTTTCCCAAAGTGTGAATACATCTTTCCCCCACGCTGTTCCAAGTGGTCATAGCAAGATCTCACTGAGTGTGAACAGCCTCAGACTTGCCAGTAGCTGTATGGAAATTAGCAAAGTAACCATTGCCATCCTTGTGGGGAAATGACAGCCACTGTCCTCACTGCAAACATCTGGACAGTTTCAGGACCCGACAGATGTTCTTGCTTATGAAGCCATGGAGCTGACTAAACTTGTTTCCCAGCATTTAGTACTCGACACATGGACTTCTATTTAAAGGAAGATGATTTTGCTTTCCAGGGAACTCTGTGACTTGATTCCGCTGCACATTACTTATATTAATAAAGTAGGATCAATCAAATTAGAGAAGTGATATATGGCATCATTTGGGTTTTCATATTTGATATGATTAATCATGTTCCTAGTCTAACTTTAAGAGATTTATTTTTAATTGTCCCCCCTTATGACACAAAATTTATCAGTCGGTGGTAACTCCTTAACCATCTTAGTTATTTGGAGAGGTACTCTCTAGGAAATTTAGTGCTTCTTGCTATAGAATCCAGTTATTTTTCAGTCCGATTTAATCTTTGATATATAAAAAAAATTACTGTTTGCTTGATAATAGTTACAAGGGGGCAAATGCAGTACTGTTTTTGAAATTCTAGTCTTCCCCTTCGTAGGACTGCCTCATCTGACAGCCTCCTGACTATGACCACTTGTTACTCCTTCTCTGCGTTCTCTTGCTCAAAATACATGCAAGGTGCCAACAATGGGAAGTGACTCTTTATACCAGGATTTCCTTCATTGTGGTGGCACAACTAACCAGAATTAACTTATTGCGCGAATTCTCTTAGAACTGCAGTCTTTGAACTTTTCTTTTTGAAATAAAAATTTCCTCTCCGCTCATTGTGAATTAGAGCCTCGTTTCTACATACAGCATTTATTTTGTTTTTAATGACTTCACATTGCTTCCTAGTTTGGCTTTATATTACTAACCAGTAAGTCATGGGTTTTTGAATCTTTTTGACTTTTACTTTTGTTTACAATTGTAGTATCTCCAGTGGATTTATGTCACAACAATTACAAAATAAGTCATTTTATAGAGTCTGGCAAGGTTAAGGCGTCCTAATAAGTAGTAAAGACAGAATTAAGTTAAATTTAAAGAAAATTTTGAAAATACCTAGAATTTTTAAGTTAAAAATATAAATTTGCCAATGAAATACCTGCGTCTGGAGTGAAGCTGTTTTGCAGTTGTCAATATAATAGCAAGCGAGAAAGTAACCTTGGACTTATTCTTCCTTATGGTAATAAAATATGATGTTCAATTGCTTTGATATCTCAAGTACGTATTTTGTTGAAGAAAATTTTCAAATGAGTCCATATTGTTGCCCTTTGTAATATAACGTTTAGTAAATTTCTGATAGGCTTAAACTTTTAATGCTTGTTAACTTATTTTTAGACATTCATACTCTCTCCGATATAAAACCTGGTCCTGATTGCCAATATATTCATTTCTCAGGGTACAATTTCCTCTTAAATTGGTCATTACCACATTAATGGCTAGTTGTTATGTTAACAGCCTAAAGGTTGTTAATATTTCAAACTAAGTTGTTAACAGCAAGCTTATTCCTTATTTAAACTGAAGGTTTGTTTTATATAACGTGACTTCTTTGGCAACTAGTAATTCATCAACACTTGAAAATTGTAGAAGTGAAATGAGAAATTGGTATGTGAGTAAAAACACTGCATTATGTATTACAGATTATGCCACAGATGTGGTATTTAGCTTTATGTGGGAAGCATGTAGCTCAGTGATATTGTGTGGATGTTCAACAGCATATGTCTCTGGCACATTGAAATAGTCTGATTCTGTATGTGAGATGGGCAAATACAATCAAGCTAATGTTATTTACAAATTAATTTCTTTGAATGTGTACAAATAGTCATCCAAAATGTTCATTGAATGCCTGCTGTGTGAAAGGCATACTTTTAGGTAATGGATGAAATAACTAATTAAAAAGGGAGATGTACCTAAAATTGTGACTATCTAATCATTTAACAATTATACAAAATGTGCAATATGACCAGTGAACAAGTAGTATTCTGTGGCTATTTTCCTCCTGGTTCTGCACATTTCCTGTCTGTATTTTGCATAACCAGTGCTTAACCATTTAAATCCTATTAAAAGTGGCGTAGTTTTGTTTTTGTTCTTTGGATATTACATAATTCCTTTGAAGCATCAAACAGGCCATACATAACTTACAGGTCTGTATTTCTCTGTCTACGTTCCTGGGCATCTAAATAAGAATATAGAAAATGATAAAAAAAATTGTTTACCTGTACTAATAAATTATTTGTTATAGGCATTATCCTGGTCTAAAGAATTTTTTTCATATCTATAGAAGATTGACCTATTTTTGATAATCGTATTTAACTTCCTAATAACTTCTTTGAAAAAAACACACACAACCAAAACAAACAAAAAAAAACATTTTTAATTCTGAACAATGATTCCTAAAGTTCTAATGTTTTATTTTGCATTGCTTGGAGCAATGATAGTGATGACCTGTTTTTACAAGTTCTTTAAGTAATGAATACACAAATTTAAATCATAAGATATTTCTTATGGGTTATCAAAACTATGAGTGTGATCAATTTGATTCCTTTCAGATTTTTTTTCTCCTTTGTGGCACAATTAATATACTTAAGAAAAAGAAAACATTTTACAGCTTATATGCTGAGTTTCGAATCTGAACAGTTCATTTTCCATAATGGGGCTGGTATAATGTATTTTATTCTTCTTTAGAATATAAAATGCACGGATCTGATGAAAGAATTTGACAGTTTGTAGGACTGTCCTCCGCCTTCATTCATTACCTAAAGGAACAGAAGGATTGACATTCAAAAACTTCCTCTATTAACACACTTTCTGACTTAAACTATGAAGTCAATCTGTCCATCAATCTTTATATGTCAAGATGTAGAAAGGTATCTGTTAAAAATGTATCCAATACATTTAGAACTTTATATTATTAAGAGATGAACTTATGACCAATTAGAATGGCAACATCTTTCTACCTTGAACTAGAGCTTAAAATTCATAGACTTCCTAAAGTAGATTAACAATTATTGTATAAAAGTTAGCAAAGATTTAGTAATGGTATTTATAGGACTCTACTCACTACCACACTATCATCTTTATTTTGGAAAATGTGAATGAAGTAGTTAATGTATAACCAGAGTTTTAGAATGAAAATTTTTGTGGCAAGTGATAAGAAATCAGAACCAGGAGAAATAGCAAAATATTTTTCAACTCGATGGCAGTAAAGGATATCAGAATCTATCACTTAAGTTTTGGGGTAATTTTTGGTGTGTTTTTTGTTAAGCTTAAAATTTCTTACTTGAGGTATATTTTAAGCATTAAGTCCATATAGGCTGAGAATGTATTCAAAGCTCTTTGCTGTGATATATGCCATAGAAACTACTTACAGCTCTTCCTATATGAGAAGCTGAAAATGTCTTATATAAATTTTAATGCAATTTTCTATTTTTATATGTGAGGATGATCTCTTTAAAATGAAACTACTGAGAGTGATGCTCCGTGCTCCATCAGAGTTACCAATTAACAAAAAACAGTTTGAAGTTGCTGTGCTTACTACAAATTAATGCTTTAATATAATGATATAGTAACTTTAAAATAGAACATTAAAAGCAATGGCTGCATAAAATATTAATCTAGCTATCGCTTTATTTCACACAGATCAAACCTGGTGCCTCTAAATTTTTACATAAGGTTCAATTAATATTAGTACATAATTAAGGCTTTAAAGGAAATCATGAATATGTTGTTAATATTATTTTATCTGACAAGTTACTTCACAATTTTTAAATGTTGAATAAAGTGTTCATTTTTTTTTTGCTTCATTGTCATCTTTTTAGTATTAGGCAGTTGAAAACATCTTCCTCGGAAAGCAGTGAATTATTGTTATTTGAAAAGTAACTTTTATTTTAAATTCTGAAAATGTAAGCTTTTATATGGACTAGAACTCCCAAATAACCTTTTTCTTCTCTACAATCTTCATTGAAGCTTTTCTAACACTTTATTATAGTCATAACTTTTACCATATTTAAATGTCTAAGCTAATCTTAGTATTATGAAATATTTTGACATATGAATGTGTTAGACTCTATGGTCTGTTTAAAAAAACACTGTTATATTCCTTGAAAATTATCTTTATTTGTAGCTTTATAAAAGGTTGTAATTTTAAGTCCATTTTTCTGTTTGTTATCATAAAGCATTATTAAATTATATTTTAAATAATTTAGACTCTATATCATTCATGGACCATTACAAATCAGGAGTGATAATTTCGTTTTGTAAAATACTTTTGGAGGGAGCCCCTCACTTTAGAAAAAAATCGATGGATTCACACCAGACCTCCTCAGTGTCAACTGCTTTTCAATAAACTTTTAAAAATATTTCATCTACACAGAAAATTTATTATTTCTAAATTTGTCTCCAATATCATTCTGTCTTTAAATCTATGA